CTGAGTGCAGGAAGATCACAGACAAGTGGGTGGGAAGTCTTGCAGATCCAGTGGCGTTGTAAGCATCTCAGCGCTGGCAGGTCTCCTTGTGGCTTCTCCAGCTCAGGGCACTAGTGTAGTTCCATGTGTCTTGTCAACTGCAATGTCTCCCACGGAGTGAGCAGAGAGAGAGAGTGCCTCCTGCCTCCAAGGAGGAATAAAGGAGTTCCCAGAATCCTCAGAGGAAGGCCATGCCCACACAGAGGCCTCATTGGCTATGACCTGATTGACAGGCTAGACTCCACCCTTAATCCTTTCAAATTGAGAAACGATTAGATAACTACCACATATGCTTTCACCATACTTATTCTGCCTATATGATGAGCAAATAGTCTGAGGATTCGAACTTTACGAAGAAGAATGGGACATCAGAATTGGAGGAAGTTTCGTCAACAACCTGTACTATTGTATTCTGTCCTACAGGTTCCCCGTGGGTCTGTATCAACTCGACATTAACGAGTTGCTTTTGTTTTCCAGTAAAGTCTCTTCGGCTTTATGGCATGCCTGTAGTTGGCATGATTTCTTATTCATTGTAATCGCTGGATTCATTGAATATCCCCACTGCATCAATGATAAATCAGCTCGGCTCTTTCCAAGTAACTGAGTTGATAGAAGAATTCAAATATTTTGTGTTAGTTCTTTCTCCGTAGGCAGTCACATCCATGTGAGGACTCGAAAAAGACTTATAGGGAATTTGTAATTTAAGGTCATTTTAGGCAAAAAATCAAGATGAATAGTAAATTCTGGAGCTAAAATGGCTTGGGAAATATTTATGTGCACCCTCCAAATCTGATACTTTGCAAAGAAATCTCTCTCTCTCTCTCTCTCTCACACACACACACACACACACACAACTTATTGAGCACCTATTTCATGCCAGATATTCACCAAATGCCTTCATGTGTGAAGTTTATTCAAACTGTCATGATTCACGTGAGAGAGAAAGCCCAGCCCGAGTGAAACATAGCAATAACTGTGTTGCTCACAGCAGATGGCTCATGAAGGGTATAATCGGGTCTGCCGGTCAGCAGAGGACATGTCTTCAGTGTCCATTGATCTGAAACAATGTCAATTAGCTCTTCCCACTGCTTCTTTGTTCACTTTCCTTTAAGTGAGAAGGGTTACATTTATTTTCAAAGAGTCGTTTGGCTGAAGTAACTTTGATGAATTCTTTCTAGAAATGTAAATGTCATTTAAATACCCAGAATCTTTTTCAAAATGTTGTCTTTTCTAGGAATGAGAAATGCAAACTCTGTCAGCTACCATTGGGTCAATAATGACTCATTGAGAATCCTCGGTGTGTAGTCAGAGTAGAACTATGCTCCAAAGGGTTTGGGATGGCTGGTTTTTCAAAAGTGAATCACCAGACCTCTCTTCATAGGTGCCTTGAGGTGGCTAGCCAGGCAAGTGCATTAACCCTTTGCACTTATCAGAATCTCTCATACAAATGACACTTCCTTGGGAAAAAAAACCGTATTCATTAACTAGGACTATGCAGTAGACTTAGGGAGCTGTCGAGTAAGCACAGTTGGCAATTCAAACTCACCACCCACTTCACTGGAGAAACATGAGTCTTTAAGCTCTTGTAAACATTTACAGTCTCAGAAACCCTTTGTAGTATCACGATGAGTCAGAATCAACTCAGAGGCAGTGGGTTTTGGCTTTTTATGAAGGAACACTGGAGCCCACTGGGCTAAGTATCAGGTTGCTAACCCAAAGGTTGATGGCTCAAACCTCTCAGCAGCTCCACGTGAGAACAATGCACCTATCTGCTTCATAAAGATTTACAGTTTCAGAAGCCCTAAGAAGCAGTTCCATTACGTCCCGTAGTATTTTGTCCTGTACTCTGAGTGGAATCACTGTGACCGCAGTGAGTATTGGTTCAGTGAGGGAAAATTATACTCCGAGTTCCCTAAGCATCAGTAGATTTTCCATTTTCTTGGATGTCATTGTCATCAACCTTTACTTTTTTATTGTATAATTTGAACAAATGTTAATATGTTTGCAAGAACAAACCAAATTGTATGCAGCACTGGAGTGCACTTTCCTTATGTGAGCATAAAGGAGCTGAGCGTTGTAGCTTTCTGAAAGTCCATCCCAGTGATGGAGGTGTATGCTAATTCGATCAATTAAAACCCACCCCATTTGTGTTCTTGCTCTCAATTCAGTTTGGCCATCTATTATCTCAATGCCACCGCCAAGGGGCAGAAGGCAGCAAATCTGGATCTGAAGAAGAAGATGAAATTGGTAGGTTTCCATTTCTTTCCTGTAAGTACTGTATCTGTGGATGACATGTAGTCGAGAAAACATCAGGGAACCTAATCCTCTTCTTTCATCTTTCGCTGTAGCAAGCTTTGGAGAACAAAATGCGAAACAAGAAAATGGCGGCTGCGCGGGCAGGTAGGAGAATCCTGTCTTGCAATTTTTCCCCTTTGCTACAATTAGGTTGCCCTTCTTTTCTACTTTGTCCTCCAAATGGGATGCTTGATGTAGAATAATGAGTACGCTGGACAGCTACTCAATCCTGTCTCCCTTTCTATCCCTTTTAGAGATCAGAGTGAGTGTTCCCCAGTGGGAGAAAGAGGAGGGGAAAAAAGAAAGAAATTTTAAAAACTGCAGTAAATTTATCAGTAGTGACTTAAGACAAATGAACAGTTTCTTTGAAAATGGAATACAATGGAAAAAAGCGACCATATGTTGTTGTTGTTGTTATGTGCCCTGCAGTTGGTTCTTCCTCAGAGACCATAGGTCTGTAGAACAGATCAAACCACACCCTGCCATGAGCCCGCCTTCCAAGTGTTCTTATGTTTGAGCCTGTTGTTGGAGGCACTGTGCCAACCCCTCTTGTGAAGGGCTGTCTATGTTTTTGCTACCACAGGTTGCCCTACTCTCATATAGTTACAAACAATAGCAGGTACAAATGCAGATTCGCTCTGGTCTAGTTTGATACATGAGAGATACACTGGAGAGATCCCAAAAGAGTTCTCTGTGCGCTCTACCACTGATTGACAGAGGGCGTTTACTAATCCCTTAACCTCTCTTTTTTAACCTCTTTAATTTGTAAACTATTGAATAAGGCTTGTGCTTAGTGGTTAATATGTGATTCAGTTGGAGTTCCACAAAGAAAAGCAATGTCGGAGAATTTCTGTGACTATACATATAACTAACTAATTAGATTAATTAATTAAAATATACATATACATATAAAATATGAACATAAATTTAAATCCAGTGTCTGGTTTTCAATTTTTCCCTCACTCCTAATTTGAAAACCCTTTGTATTATTAGTCTACTAAAGCCTGAGGAAGGTGGAACCTGTTAGAGTATAAACCTGACAGAAAAGGCAAAGGCAAATGTATCTCACTTAATATCGAGCAGATAGAAAAGTGGTGACTGAACGGTGGAAAACTTTGGGACCCCAGGAAAACAAGGCAGTACCAAATTGTGCCTGCCACAGGTTTCACTGCATATATTTTATTCTTCTGAAAGTAACAAAATAAACCCCACAAAAACCCAAGTTGGCTTAATTGAATAAAAAAAGGAAAAAATGTATTAGATTATGCAACTGAACAGGTGAGTGGTGTAGATGGTTCAAGCCCCACGTTTTTCTGGTTTTAGAAAGTACCAAGGCCAGTGCCCATTTCTCTGCGACCCTCCCTCAGCACTGTGATGGGTGCCATGATGGTGGTAGAAGCCTTCAGGGCGATTTCCAATGTCGTTTAATTATCCTATCAAGACTTTTAGGCAGATTGAGGATTCTAGCCAGTACAGTGAACCCTCGCCACTTCGCGCTTCGACTTCCGCGGCTTCACTCTATCGCGGTTTTTGCGTAACAGCGCATGCTCTGTCATTACTGCCACTGATTGGCTCATACTGTACACGCTTCTGTCTGCATCGCTACATATCGGAGCTACGTATCAGATGCAATTTTGCTTTTGTACAGTGTACTGTAATTGTTTGCAATTTTAAAGAAATTTTATCTAAGCCCTATGATGGCTCCTAAACGAGCTGCTTCTTCTAAGCCTTCTGACAATAAAAATAAGCGCCAGAGGAAGATGCTCACCATCCAGGAAAAGGTAAAACTTTTGGATATGATCAAAGATGGCAAGAAAATCATGGAGGTTGCATGCCATTTCGACGTGAATGAGTCTTCCGTTCGCTCCATCCGTTGTACTTCATAATATATTAAATAATAAATGATAATTGTAACGTCCAAAATGTTTTACTGCATTTTCCCTTTTTCGTTTAATAAATTGGGTAATACGAGTGTAATGGTGACTAAAGGGTGTTTTTTCATGTCCTCTATGCTCTAACTACGAAAATATTTGATTTACAAATAAGGAATCCTACTTCGCGGAATTTCATTTATCACGGTAGGGTCTAGAACCGATTAACCGCGATCAACGAGGGTTCACTGTATTCTACTTGGGTACACTGCTCTCAGAGTCTTCTAGACCTCTTCTATCTCAACTAATAGCTTTTTTCTCTCTGACGTATCTGTCAACCTTTCTCTTCACTCTCATCTTCGTCACTCCATCGTGTCTGGATTCTGTTTCCGGCGTTTCCCAACTTTCTCTTTCTTAGTGGTTGCACTTTGGACTGTGATCTGAATGACGGGCAGTTCAAAACCACCAGCAGTTCCACTGGAGCAAGACTAGGTTCTCTACGCCCATACACAGTTACAGTATTTGAAACCCATAGGAGGTCACTATGAGTCAGCATGGATTTGATCGCAATGAGGTTTCTCATATGTTTTAGTGGAGAAAATATACGAGAGGCAAATTTTTGAAACTTTGCATGTCTGAAGTAGTTCTCCTGTTACCCTCCTCTTGAATAGTTTTAAAGGGTATAAAAACTATTTCATGAAATTGATCGGAATATTTCTTTTGAATTTTAAAGATACATTTCCATGTGTTCAGCGTTTTGGAATTGCTATTAGAAATTCTAAAGCCATTCTGATTTTTAATCCTTATGATGTGACTTCTAGTGCTGTTTGTTCTAACTCTCTGGAAGGTTGAATGATTTATTTATTCTTTCTTTTCCCCCCCTTCTTATCTGCAGTGGTTATTCTGCAGTATCATGTGGAATTCCAGGATGGTTTTCCCCTCTAGAAGTTCTTACTGTTTATTTGAGAAAAATTTCTTGACTTATTCCTTATCCCCCAGTTTCTCTGTTCTCCATGGAATTCCCATTATTTGATTATTGAAACTTTGGGGTTAGTTATCTAATTATTTGGATAAACCTTCTCTTTATCTTTTTGCTTCACTCATGAGTATTACCTTAGTCTAAATTTTCAGTACTTTCTCTTTACCTTTTCTGTTACGTCAACTCTAATTTTGAAAACCTTTGTGCTCACCAATTTTTCTTTGAAAAATAGTGTTCTGATTTGTTTAGTAGCTACAAGAGCTTTCTCTTCATGAGAATATTATTATGTCTTTTTCAAGTTTCTTTGCCTTTTATCCAAGCTTCTTAGAAGATTTTATTGCTCTGTTAAAGTCATATTACAGACTTTCTTCAGGTTCCTGGTGGTTCGTGGCTGTGCACTTGTATTCAACGGTGGAACAGGATGGCTACATTCATGTGGGTGGAACAGATATTCAAGTGATCAGACTCTCCCTGGGCTGTCTGATAAGCTTCCTTGCCGATTTATTTAAGCTTTTGCTGTTAGGCTGATGATCTTCTATCAGCAGAGGCACATCCAACTTCTGCCTGCAAAGTGAAACTCATGTACCTATCTTCCAGTACTGGAGTGGAAGATGGGACATGGCATATTGACTTCCAACTTACAGACACTCACTTGCACCCCCTGTTAACACGCTGGTACTCCTTCTAATTGTCTAACTCATAAACATTCCGATGTTACTGCCTCTGGAGAGAATTCCCCCAGTCTTCTGAGAAGACAGGGGGGAGGCAAACAACGATCTCTGTCGAGTGAAACCATAGAGGTAGGGTTACAACTACCTTTTCCAAAAACATCCTTGGGTTTTAGTTCCCAATTTTGAGATATACCTGCGGTTGCCAATTCCTGATCCTTTTGGAGATTTTTAGTGTATATTACATTGCTTTTATTTTTTTCTATCTGCTGGTTTGGGGCTCTAATTTGTCAGAACTGATAAAACATTTATCATTAATTTAGATGCTTTTCAGTTCCTAAAATTCCATCACCATTGTCTCTTCATTGGCTCTTACAAACCTTGTAAGTTTATGCCTAAACCCAATATTTTTTTCTATCATGTTTGATAGAGAGAGCAAAAGTTCAGTCCAGTGTAACTCTACAGCCTAGGTAAAGCTTCCTGTCTTCTACAACAAGTGTAGGGATAATTTTACCTGCATTTTAACACTGTTCATGGAATAGTGGTTATCTGAATTAATGTGTTGAGATGAATTTTTGAATTAAGTGCATCTTAGCAAGAATTGCTTAGCTGCATGTGCTCTTTGCAAAGATTAAGAGACAGCATATATGCCACCATTCTAGAATAACTATTGAATATCATAGACAGTGACTATAATTCAGCATTGCCAAATTACTATGAAGAATGGTAAGTGAAAAGACCCAACTACTAACGTTTAAATTCTAGTGAAGCCATATTTCTTGTCTAAATATTTCTAGTCTATGGCTAGTGTCTGTTACTTATCTAATGTTTTCTCATAATTGGTGCCTAACCATATTTATAACCTCTGTTGTATAGTTGATTTCTCAGGAACTTAAAACATAACTTGACGCATAATAGTCCTTAAGTAAAAATCTATTTCTTATCTACTGGGCAATGAAGAATTCTTTTACTGTAAAAAGGTTTAAAAGATTGTATATAAAGGACATAAATTGTAATGAATAAGTGTTATAAATAGGAGAGCTTCTGTTCTGCCTTTTAAAAATTTTATGAGGATTTTATAAAATAAGTAGAGATATTTTGAGTTAAAAAATGCTAAACATTAAGCCAAAGTGTAGAGTATCTGACAGTTACAGATTTTAGATTTTTGGCCACTTCATCAGAACCATTAACACTTTTTGTTTGTTTGTTTGTTTATGGAACAGCTGCTGCTGGTGGTGGACAGTAAGCTTCCCAGATATGCGTGGAGCTGAGAAGTACTCCTCACCGTCTACTCTGCTGTTTGTGATAGACGAGTTATATGAAGGCCCAGAGAACACACACTGCAGCATTAATTCCAGCTCCGCTAGAAGGCACTCCAGAGGACTGCAGTAGGGATTAGTTCTGATACCAGCACTTCCTCCCCAACCCATTTTCCTGACATCCTTCCTGAGAAATTTGAGTTTCAAAGCAAATCTGATCCAGCAATATAAGTCATTGGTTTATTTAATAGGTGAATTTAAAAACATTTTGCTCATATAGATTTGTAGTTTACACATTCCTTCTGTCTTAGTTTTTCTTGGACTGGGAACAGGAATATATCATGCTTTCTAATTTCCTCTAAATTCAAAATAATCTTATTCAAGCACGCCTCGTAATTAGTCATTAATTTACTATTCGAAGCAAACCACTCTTTGCCTCCTTTTCCTGGTGTAGCCCCACCCACAGACCTTTTTATTTGATGCTGGATCCAGAAGCACAAACAGATTGATCCGCAGACATTTCTTAATGAATTAGGGACACATATAAGTATCAGAACTGGGTTGATGGTCTCTCGCCCACAAAGTTCAGAAACATAAAACAACTAAACCAGTTATGAATTCAGGAAAAGAGGCAAGGGAAGGAAGAAAATGAAAGGAGCAAGGAGTCTCCAGATGTGACTGTCACTCGGTCACATCAGCTCACTTGCCATTCAAAGTCTTATCTCCTGAGTTTAGATTTCATATTCTATCATTTTTCTTTGTCATGTTAAGATTTGGAAAACACACACTTTCATCTGGGCCTCTAATGAATAGAATCTTGTAAACATTATTATTCATTTAAAGTTCCATTAATCACGATCCGTGTCCTCAGCTGGCTTTAATGTGTGATTTCAATGGCATCTCCTAACTCATTATTCTTTTTTTTCTGGAGCTAAGCCAATTTGCCTGCCATTCCCTGCAAGTGACTTGCTGATTTTTGTCTTGGAGTTCCACCATCTTCTTAATTTTCCATTGGCCGTAGAGGGTCCCTCTGCCAATCCACAGGTTTTTCTCTCCCACCATACCAAATTTAAGACCAACTTCTTTTGGTGAGCTTTCCAGAATAGGTCCCATTCCAATCATACCACTTCCTTGAAACACTTCTTTTAATTCTTAATTTCAGAGTGTGTTATTTATATTGATTTTCAAGTGATTTTCTAATGGTTCTTACATGTCTAGACCATCTTTACTTACCAGATTAAAAACTCCCCAGGAGTAGGGATCATATCTTAAAACTCTTTTAACTATTTTGTATGCAGCATATTGCCTAGTATAGTGCTGTGCACAGGTAGGCACTCCAAAAATGCTTGTTAATTAAATTGAATCAATTTAACTTACAGCAGTTGCATTGTGAAATAAAATCTTCTGTTATCCGAATAAAACATGTTACTATGATATAAGAAATGGATTTACTGTTGATATGCATAACTTATTATTTCAGTAGATTATAAGGCAGATGAATAAGAAAACCCGGTATTGGTTTCCACATGGGACATTTTTGCACTGTGTATTAAGGAGGTAAGAGAGTTGATTTGTATGTGTTTCCGTAGATTGACTTCACAAGGTTGTTGATAAGAGAGGACAAATTATCCCCCTAGTGCATTTATCTCTTCAAGAGCATATACTTTTTACACAAATGCATGCAGATATGGTAACTAGATTTCAAAGTTTTTATAAATTTTAAAAACACATTAAGTTTTCATGAAATGCAAACATCCACCTGACTTAAGGTAAGTATTTAGGAAATGTCTTCAGAGAGCTGTTGAAAATATTTCTATATTGCTACAGGAGCAAGGATCTACTGTCAGAAACAGCGAATGTCACTTCCAAAATTGTTTAATGGCTACTCAAGGAAGAGCCTTGCACTTAGAGCATCTGACTATTATATGTCTTTCCACATCTGACGTCCACGGCCTTAGGAAAACTTACAAAGCAAACAGAAAACAGGCTGTGTCTTTTATTCTTTCACAGAGGAATTATAACGCTATATAGACTCTGTCAATTACACTAGATAATTGGGTTTAATTCTCTGGAAAACATGACTATTCACTTACAAAATGAAAAATTATATTTCAGCACACCAAATTAACCCCTTTGACTTCAAAGAAGAACACATAGTCTATATTAAGTAGTTTGACTCAATCAGCTTGATAGCAATACTTCATGAAAAAAATTTTTTAAACCCCAAAAACTTTTATAGAGCTGATTATGATTCATAGGGAGAATTCAGCCTCCTCTTTCTCCACAGAGAGATTGGTGGGTTTGAGCCACCTATATTGTAGTTATCAGCACATTGCCCAGGACACAACAGCACCAAAATGTAGCCAGAAAACAATAAAAACCTGACTCATGGCAGCTCTACAGGACAGAGTACAACCACCCCGGTAGGTTTCCAGACTGTAACTCTGTGGGATTAGAAAGCCTCATCTTTCTCCAAAGAGCAGCTGTTGGACCTCAGCTCCTGCTCAAGGGCTCTGTGCAGAACACCTGTGCCACCAGGCTCCTCAGAATGCATCCATCGTGAGTAGCAAGCATGCTCGCTTTGATAGCGCCAATAGGGGCTTATCACGGGATCGTGCAAGTGATGAACACTAAGCCGCTAACTAAAAGTTCAGGGCTACCGAGAGGCACCTACGAAGAAAGACCTGATGACCCACTTCTGAAAAATCAAACGGAAAAACAAAAAACTGATGGAGCACACCAAGTGGGATTCCCATGAGGCAGCACGGACTTGATGGCAATTGGTAAATGGGCATACTACTAATAAAATGCTGGTCTGAACTAGTTTTTTATACTGATAACATTCTGCAAATGCCATGGCCACATCAGGAAATGACTGGAAACATCGGTCTCAGTGGATGGTGAGGTTGGAGCAAGCCTTGCTGCCCAGTGAACAGAGGCTGAGTCCTGGTTTCCAAAGCTGGCTTACCCCTGCATGCACCCCCCAAAATACGTATAGACCAACAACCCCATAATTTCACTGCCCTCGGATTGATTCTGACTCATAATGACCCCATATAGGGTTTCTGAGCTACAAATTATTACAGGAACACAAAGTCTCATATTTTTACCAAGGAACAGCTGGTGGAGTGGAC